CGGAGCACGGCCCAGGCCGAGGGGCCCCGGGGCAGAGGGACGCAGCCTCCCCGCGCCGGCCGCGGCGTGTCCCGCCCCTGCCCCGCAGCCCCGTCGAGGATGCGTGCGTGTGTAAGTTGTGGTGTGCGTGTGTGTACAGGAGGGTGTGCTTATGCGTTGGCATGTGTGTGTCCGAGTGTGTGCATGACGGTGAGTGTGTGGCTGTGTGTTTGTGTACATGCCCGAGTGCGTGTCTGCGATGGTGTGCGTGCGGGTGACAGCCTGTGTGTGTGTGTGGGGATGTGGCGCGCTGCGAGCGCACCATGGGGAGCGTGTGACTGTGCACGCGTGGGCCTGTGCTTGTGTGTGTGTCCGATGGTGCGTGCGGGACCGGGTGTCTCAGGGTGTCTGTGATGGGATGTGGATGTGGATGTGTACGTGAGGGGGGCGGGCTGCGCGTACACGACGGCGCGTGCGTGACACTGCGGGGTGTGCGTCTGTGATGGTGCGTGTTTGTGCCTGCGCGTGTGTCCGTCCAGGACGGGCTGTGTGGGCACGACGGGGCGTGTGTGACAGTGTCTGTGTGCATGTTTGTGTGTGTGCACCACTCTGCGTGCTTGTGTGTGCACGGCGGGGCGCGTGTGTGGGTGCGGGGGCCGTCTGGGCCGCGCCGCCGCGCTCGGGCTGATCCCATTATCCCCGCGCGGCTGCCCGCCTCCCGGCGGGATCGGGCCCCTCGGCCGGGCTGCTGCCGTCCCTGCCCCAGCTCAGGAGGCTCCCGGGACGGCTTGGCTCTGCAACAGGGGTGGGGGGAGCAAAACACCCCCAATCCCCCACCGTGCGTGCACGTGTGTCTGTGTGACAGGCTGGCTGCATGTCTGAATGTGTACCTATGAGTTTATGCATGTATGCTTGTGTGGCTATATATGTGTGCACGTATGCACACCCATGTGCGTGCACATGTGTCTATAGAGATGTGTGTATGTGCGTACATGTGTATGCGCATGCGTTTGTGTGTCTGTGACAGGCTGTGCATATATGACGGAGAGTGCGTGATGTGTTTATGTGTGCGCGCATGCACGCATATGTATGCGTGTGCACGTACACCCCTATGTGTGCGCGCGTATATGTGTATGTGCGTGCTCATGTGTGTATATATATAGGTGTGCATGTATATGTGTACATGTGCATGTGTGTATATATGTACATACGTGTGCATGTGTGCACTTGTGTATGTGAGAGTGCATACAAGTGCATGTGTGCATATGTGTATATGTGTGTATGCACATGTGCATGTGTGTGCATGTATATGTATGTGCATGTTTGCGTGTGCGCACACATGTGCATATCTGTGCGTGCATGCATCTGTAAGTGTGTGCGTGTGTGGGTATAGCCGGATCTCTTTTATTTAGCTCCATTCCCAGCCCCCTGCCCCCTCTCCCCCCAGCACCCAAGATCCCCTGTGCCTGGCCACCAGATCCCTGACAGATCTCTGACAGATCTCCCATTCTCCTCCCCTCCATGCCTTGGGCAGCCACTGCTTTGCCCTAAGACCAGCTGATCATTCGTATGGAAATCCCAGCTCAGGGCTAGTGGGGATCAGGCCAGGCTGCTGCAGGGGGGATGGAAGGGAAGTACTCTCAGCTCTGGTCAGTGGCTGGGGGCGGGGGAGGGATGCCTAGCTGGCTTGCCCGCTCTGGCCAGTGAGTATTGACCAGGCCCCTTGATCAGGGGGGTTAAAGGGGTGGCGGCAGCCCCTGGGCTGGGCTGGTTGGTTTAATTGCCCATCAGTCCAGTGAGAGGTTGTGCCCCTGCCTGGGACCTGCAGTGGAGGGGGTGAATCTCCCTGTGCCTCCAAGCCTGTCCCCAGGCTATCCCCTTGCTCCTGGGTTTGGGACTGTGGTTTGCAATCTGCCTTCCTGGCTGTGGTGGGGGCTGGGCTGAGCTGGACTGGGAGTGCCCCAGTACCTCCAGTCTCACCAGGGCAGCTGCATTGCTTCCAGCCCCTGCAGTGTAGGGGAAAGCAGGATTGGGGTCTGGTGCCTCTGATCCCTGCCCTCCCCTCTGCCCGGTTGGGATAGGCTGATTGCAAAGCCCAGAGTGGAGCTGCAGGAATCAGCCCCTGTGTTTGGTGCGGGAACTGACTCCACGCCATGGCCCAATTCTGTCTGCCCTGATGAGAGATCCCTTGAAGGCTGACCTGGGTCCCTAGGAGGCAGGACGGGGGCCCTACAAGGCAGGATTGGGGCCCTTGGAGGCAGGATCAGGGCTCTAGGAGGAAGAATCAAGGTCCTAGAAGGCAGGATTGGGTCCCACCACACTGGCATTGGGTGAGGCTGGCCACTTTTCTGAAGTAATCCCGGTGCTCTCTTGTTTCCAGAAGGCAGGGAGTGTGTAAACTGTGGGGCTACCTCAACCCCCCTGTGGCGGAGAGACGGCACCGGGCACTATCTGTGCAATGCCTGCGGGCTCTACCATAAAATGAATGGGCAGAACCGGCCCCTGATCAAGCCCAAGAGAAGGCTGGTAAGTCTGCTCCGCCGGCGGGTCCAGCACCAGGCTCTGCTCCCCACCCTCAGCCCTCTCTGGGGAGATCCAGGCAAGGCAGGCGAAGGATGCCTCACTGTCCTGCAGAGGGGGTGTCACCTCCCAGCCCTTGCCTGGGCCTGTTAAGTTATCTAACACTGCTCTTCTCCCCCCTCCAATGCCTGTAAAAAATCCAGGCTTTATTTTAAGAGTTGCTTAAAGGAACCAGCCAAGAGTTTTCATTCAAATGGGGGTGGGGGTGGGAATGCGTCGATCTTAAAGCCTATTTATGGAAAAAAATTGGGATCCCTTCTTGGGAGGGTGGGGAATGTGTGATCTTCCTGCCCACCCAGGATGGGTGCAGGATTTTAGGAGAAGGCCAAGATTGATCTGGTCCTTCTTCCCCTTCGAAACTACTTCCCTGCTGATTTCACTCCCCTTTGATAACGGGTCATTGGGGACCAGGCAGAAATGATGCCTCGGTCCTACAAAGGGAGACACCAGAGCTGTATTTTGGTCCTTGCTCTCTGTTGCCTTGCGCCGTGTACAGTCATCTGGAGCTGAATGACGTGGGCGCATGTTGCTGTCAGCCCTGTCATGATGGGAGCTTGTAGTCACCTAGCCTTGATGTAGATAAGGGTGGAAGGTGCAGGGCACCGGCATATTGGTCCCTGTGAGTAATCCCATTGAACGGCGAGAGTGCAAAGCTGAGCAAAGCTTTGAACGGCGAGTGTGCAAAGCATGTGTACGACTGCGCAGGATGGGGGGGATTCGATGAACGCAGCGCCGTAATAACTAATGGTTTCAGGCCCTGTGGCTGTAGCAGCCGCAGGCAGCGTGTACGGGGTCCCCGGTGATCTAGTTGCGAATTTCCCTAGAAGCCGCAAAGCAATCTGGAAGCCGAGGACATGGCTCATAAATGTGCTGAAGTATCGCTGGCAAATAATCATGTAAACCACAAGGGGAAAAATCTATTAAGTGATGGGGGGGGAGAGATATGTGCCCTGTCTAGGGAGTGATTGAACGTTTGGAGTCAAGGACCGGGTTG